AACGGTGAGTAAATTTTGAAAAAGACTTTGTACTTTGTGCACTTTGAAAAAGTGTACTTTGTGCTCACGAGTAAACGCACCATCCTGGTGCATTGAGTTTTTTTATTTTCCTTATCAAATCACTGAGAAAAACTCTCAAAGATTTGCCAGAGCTAAAATAGAGATCTTTTAGAAAACGCAGTAGCTTCTAGATAAACCTACAGTACACCAGTACAGAGTACAGTCAAGTAGGGGGGTACTGTAATTTAGCCTTAAACTTTCATTTCTTTATTGTAAGGGCTAATGAAAGTTGAATGAAAGTGCTTCATTGATCAATGAAAGTTTTTTTCTATTGATAAGGTTTATCGATTTTTTCACGTAGTGACAAAATGAAAAGTCGCTAGAAATGAAAAGCTGATGCTCTTGACTTTCCAATGAAACAAGCAGATTGATAGCTTTTCTAGAAGCTGAGAGCTGTTCTAGATGCTGAGAGCTGAACAGTTAAACATGAGCTTGCCATTTGTTTCGATAATATCGATAATTTTACTTTATCATCTTTACTTACAGTCGATTTATGATGGTTTTTATGATTCGCAGTTTCTTTTGCAAGAGAGCTTTCTTTTGTAAGAGAGCTTTCTTTTGCAAGAGAGCTAAACTTTATCTAGGTGTCCTATGAAATTGCTCAAAATTTGATATTACGATTTAAGCAAAACTGTTTCTGCTTAGGGTTTTACGAAATGACGTACACAGTATTGATAAGCCTTGATAAAGCTTGATAAGCATTGATAAGCATTGATAAGCCTTGAACTATGAGAATTTGCTATCTGTGAAATCGAAATGTAAAGCTGATGCTCTTGTCTTTTCAATGAAACAAACAGATTGGTAGCTTTTCTAGAAGCTGATAGCTTTTCTAGAAGCTGAGAACTGTTCTAGAAGCTGATAGCTGTTCTAAAAGCTGATAGCTTTTCTAGAAGCTGATAGCTGTTCACATTGCCGATAATATCGATAACTATATAGTAGTCGCTTTAAAAGTCTCTTTTTTCTAACTCCCTGTTTACTCCCTTACTCTAAATGCTTACAGTAATCAATTTTTAAAGTAAGACAAGAGAAAAACTTGTTTTTGATCTTCTCATTTTTGAATTTAAACAACACAAAGATTTCCCCGATTTCCATTCAATTTTTCGCATTCAAATTGCTCAAAGTTGATTGATTGTTAAAGAAAAAAAAAAGGGTTTTGTTGAAAATATCCAATTTTGGAATAAATTTCCTCAAAATTTCCTCAAAATCTTCTCATTTTTGAAGAAATTCCCCTCAAAAACTTCTTGATTGATCGGCAATTTTTTGAAATTTCCGAAAAATGATTGAAAGCAGGGTAAAAACGAAAAAAAACCCAATTTCGATCGTTTCAAATTGAAAAATTTTCTAGTTTTCCTGTATATTCTTCCTTTTTTTTGATTTCGTTTTCATTTTACGAAAGCATTTCCATAAAAGGGAAAAAAAATGTTGTGACGGGTTGATTTCTGGCAAGAAAAGAAAAGAAAAGAAAAGAAAGGAAAAGAAAAAAGAAAAAAGAAAAAAAGTGAAAAACTTGAATCAGCTAGATCGAGAATTTTTTGATTTTTTGATTTTTTTCGTTTTTTCGCTTTTTTTTTTTTGAAGATTCCAGAGATGATTTGTACTTTTTGATAGAAATATCCATTGAAATTGAGGTTTTTTTTTCTTTTTTTTGTTTTTTTTTTTTTTTTTTTTTTTTTTTTTTTTTTTTTTTTTTTTTTTTTTTGGAAATTGAGGTAGAAATTGAGGTAGAAATTGAGGTAGAAATTGAGATTGAAATATTCATTGAAATTGAGATTGAGATTGCTATTGGTATCGTCTAAATACTGTAAGAAAAGGCAGCTTTTTTTTTTGCCTCAAAATTCTAGCCATTTCAAGTTCCTTTTGGTGTACTTTTTGGCTCGAATTTCTTTAAACCCATCCTTTCTAGTGCACTGAAACCCCAAATTTCTCTCTAAATCGTTACCAAATTCGAGATTCTAGATTCAATGCGATAGAAATGCTGCGTTTACAGATCTTGTGCACAAAGTACACACGAATTGCTCTTTCAGAAGAATTACACTGAAATCTAGAAGTATCTGTGAATCATTAGGCTTTTTTGGATAGTTAGATAAATAGTACTGTACATTGTAAACTTAAATACTGTACGTTGTAAACTTATGTAAACTATGTGTACTTTGTGCTGATCTAAAAACGCACCCTTTCTAGTGCATTGAATGCTTCATTTCCAGTGAAACAAAGGAAAAGAGGGTTCCCTGCGCTAGAAATGCTGCGTTTACATATGAACACAAAGTACAAATGTGATGCTGAGTAAGCAATCCAGATCAAAAACTTGTGCACCACCTGGACTCGAACCCCCGACCTTTCGCTTAACAGCCAACCGTGCTAACCATTACACTACAACGCCCTTGATCGCCTTGACTCCAGAGGAAGTTAACTAATGTGATCTTTCGGGTCTTAGCGGCCT